GAAAAGCTAAAGAAAGAATCATTCCTGAATAGATAACGAGGGGAAGAGGGGGAAAGGAGAGTAAAAATTAGTGAGTAGATAATAGGTGGAGGAAAAGGCAGTATGCCGTGATGGGGTGATCAGCACACCCCCAGGGAATATGTGGGGAGAACCACAGGCACCAGTCAGCAAGGCGGCGCCTCTGTGGAAGGGAGCTGCTGGCATGTTGGAAGCGGCATCCTTTGAGGTCTAAGGCTCTTTGCACAAGATGGACTTAGACTCAGCACCAGAGGTTGGAGAGGACTGGAGGGACATAACACAGACCTGGACTAGAGCTGCAGCTCCACCTTCCCAAGCATGACGTCCTTTTCTAGGAGTAGCCTCTCCTAGCAACATGCCCAAGATACGTGAACTGAACCATCACCATCCTTGTCTCCAAGAACACTGGCTGTACCTTCTCCGAGACATACCTGCTTGTTCTCTTGGCAGTCCATGGGAGTTCAGCACTATTCTCCAACACCATCTCTCAAATGCATTAATTCTTCTGTCATTCTTATTCATTGCATAGCAGGTGATTGGAAAAATCCTGACTGGTAGTAACAGGGATGTTGATTGTGGATCCAAGTAAGATGAAAGTTGTTAATTTCAACCTTTTCTCCATCTGTCACTGATGGTGCTTACTGGAGCAGTGGTGAGGATTTGTTGTCTTGACATTGAGAGATAGAATCAACATTGAAGGCTTTTGTCTTTGATCTGCTGCACCAAGTGCTTCAGGTCCTCACTTTGAGCAGGGTTGTGTTATCTGCATGTTGCAGGTTGTTACTATTGTTCCTCCAATCCAGATGCCACATTCATCATAGAATCTACTTCTTGAATAATAGTAACTCGGCACACAGATTTAGCATGGAGGTATGGAGAATCTTGACACATGGTTTTCCTGATTTTAAACTGCATTGTTTCCTTGTGCTGTTCACACAACAGCATCTTGGTCTAGGGATCCCACTCTTCTGTCTGCCACAGTAATGGAGCCCTACAGGGAGATGGTGAGGCCAGAGAGGAAACATGGGCTCTTTCTGGCTTTAGCGTGGCAGGCTGAGTGTGTGGTGCCACAGCAGAGGTCACTCATTTAATTTCTTATTCAAGTATATTTTTCCTATTGTTTTTTATTTTATTATTATTTATACCAGTAAAAAGAAAATAACTATTATTATTATTAATAATAATGTTTTTCTTTTTCAGGCATGGTTTTCCTTTGTTAGATTTGTCAGTGACGTCAATTTTTATTAATCCTTTCTAAGAACTAACACCTAGGTCTTACTGGTTCTGTTGTTTTTCGTGGTGATTCCTACTGTAAACTATTAGTTCTGGAGACTAGAATTTGCTTATTGCTCTTTTTTGACTGATTGTTGGAGACGTTGTGAGTAAGGTGCTGACAATGGTTCGTTGGGTTTTTTGGCCGTGTTCCAAAGATTTTGAATGTCATTTGTTTCAGGGACTCTTTAAATTACATTTGTTAATCTCTCCTGTCACCCAGTAGTGTACTCTAGGGTGTTTTGTAGTCCCTTCTCCCTTTGATGATCCTGCCGCTGATTTCTGATTTTATAGCACTGTGATGTGAAAAGATGCTTTGTCGTATTTCAGTGTTTTAATATATTGAGACTTGCTTGTTGTGGGACCTAACATATGACCTAACATATTCTGGAGAATAGGTAATGGAGGAAAATGTATATTGTGCTTGTTGGATGGCATTTTCTATTTATGTTTATTAGACAGATGACTTGCATTGTTTAGTTTCCCTGTTTGTGATGAATTTCTTTTAAGTTAATTCTGCCCTTAATGCAAAGTGGTTGATATTTCCTGCTATTATTGTGGAGTTGTCTGTTTCTGTACTCAAGTCTGGTAAAGTTTAACTTAATTGTTTTGGAGCTCTGTCATGGAGTGGTGTAGATACTATTATAGCTTTTTCCGCCTACTCAGTTGACCCTTTAATCACTCTGATTACAGTGTTTCTTTGTCATGCTGCTTTTTGCTTTGAAATGTATTTTATAGGGAATCAATGTTGCCAATTCCTACTCTTTCTGAATGCTGTTTGATAGGCTTCCCCCCACCTTCCTATTTTCATTGGAGTTGCCCTTGTGTGTGAGAGGATTTAGGGACTCACACCTCTGGTTGCTTTTTAGTCTCAGGTGATTCTGTGTCTGGTTTGGGTTCTGTGTGATAATAGTCATCTGTGTTCATTTCGGATCTTTTCTGTCATTGTTTTTTTTCTGCCTGAAGAATTCTAGTATTTCTTTTAAGGTTGGTGCTGTTTCACAGATTCTTTGCCATCCTGTTACCGCCTTCTTACTTGTGGGGTTTCTTCTGCTGAGAAATCACCTCTCCTCTCTCATTGTTTCTCTGTTGTAAAGGACCCTGTATTTCCCCAGTCTTCTTTCAGAATGTTTGTAATTTTGGATATTTTTATTATAATTTTTTGTTTGGAGTCTCACTTATTTGTGATTGCTGAACCTTTTTGGTACTTTTACGTCTTTGTAATATTTGGGTAACTTTTTCCAGGAAATCGTCAACCATTTTCTCAATGCCTTCCCCCTGCCCTTTCTGTCTGTAAAGGTAACAGACAAGTTACTCCTCTTGATGGTGTCGCACATAATCCTTACACTTTCTTCATTTTTCTGCCTTTTTTCTGATTATTCCTTCATGTTCCTTCAGGGCTTCTAATTGTTCGTTTATTTTGTCAATTTTGTCTCCCCACCCCAATTATCCTTTCCCAAGGGAGTTCTGGTGACGGAAGGCTGAGAGGCTGCGCTGCCGTCACAGAGACGTTGAGTTCTAATCCGTCAGCTGCTTTGCGAGAGGAGGATGGGAAATCTCCTCCCGTGGGATTCACTGCCTCTGAAAACCCGCCAGAGGGTCAGTTCTGACACTTCTCCCCAGTTAGTCTAGATCTTTGTTGTCTTTTGACACCTTGTGGTGATGGAGTGTTGTATTACTATGCTCTGACATCCTGAGCCATGTGAGAGAGTGCTGTGAGGTACCCTCACCTGTCAGTACTGTTCTTGTACCTCCTGACCCCACCTCTCCTGTCAGCCAGCTTCCAGTGTGCTCGCCACTGTAGTCCTGGGCTTTGTACCCATCAGAAACGTCTTCAGAAGTTCCAGTTGATCCGTTGTGCTCGCCACTCCACCTCTCTCTCTCTGGCCATTTTCCGTTCACTTTCTTTATCCAGTTGGTATTGAACTACTTCTTTTTTTAAATTGAGATTTTAATCAAAGATTTCTTTTCATTCATTGTTGCACATTTTCCTCCCTGCCCACCTCTCCCTTCCAGTTTGCTTTTCTCTTTGAAAAGGAAAAAAAAAATTCCTTCATTGTTACACAATTCCCTCCAGCTCCTTCTCTGGACTCTTGTCATGCAAACATTAGAATTCTTTATCACTTCTTTTGAAATTTTTAAATGCCAGGATTACTATCAGCTGTGAAGCACCCGGACTATTGTTGGTCTAGCCTGATTGTCCCACAAGCCCTGTTCTCTAAATTTAAATCATAATTTAAGTACATGTTTTCCCCTCAGAATAAGGGTTTAATTTTATGTGTTCCTCTTTGAGAAGAACTCACAATTTTAAAAGTTTTAAATAAATGCTCATCTCATGTCAGGAACCTTGTTTATTTTTTTCTTTTTAACTTTCTGTTGTGATTTGAGGGAGCTCGGTGGCTTAGTGGCAAGGAGTTATGCCGCCAACCCAAGCATCTGAGGTTTGAATCCACTGTGGGATTCTCCGTGGGAGAAAGATGAATTGCCTCCTCCTGTGTGATTCACAGCCTCTGAAAACCCGCTGGAGGGTCAGCCAGGAGTCTTGTCCAGTTGACGGTACAGCAACAGCAGCAATAGTAGGATTTGCGTGAAAGCTGGCAGAGCACGTTGATTTTCTGTGCCACTCTTTGTGCACGTTCTGTTGTAGGACATTAATTACGTCCCCGCATTCCATGGCTCGCCTTTCCTGTGATCCCCTTGCGTGTCTGGTGTTCTGCTTTCTGAGCTGGGCCCCTCTCGTCTCATGTGCTGCTTCCAAGGAGTGTGCTCCCTGCGGTCTTGATCACCTTGGAGGCCTTGTTGTTTGACAGAAAGTTGAACCACTGGAGTGCGTTTCTTCCAGGCTGAAAGCTTCAGTAAACTCTGTAGTCTCTTATCAGACCATAAACCCAACTCCTGTGTTTGTGTGCTGCGAATGAAGATTTACAAAGCAAATTAGTTTTTATTCAACCCTTGTTACATATTTGCTTGTATAACATTAGAGTCCCTACAATATTTCTCCTCCTTCTTTCCAGCAACTTTAGTTTCATTCTGCATTTTTCTCTTACTCTGTTGCGGACCCTGTACTGCAGTCCCTTTCAGAGGCTCTTGGAGGTGTGGTTTAGAGGCAGATGGAGTTAGGTGTCTACAGACCACACAGTTTGTATTATGTGTTTTCAGAATACTTTGTTTTCCTTTTAGAATTGGGAGCATTTTCATATGTAAGTAAATGCTGCACATTTCTACTTACAAAGTGGATACTGGCCTTGCTTTGATGGCTCCATCAACTAATTTTAGTGGTGTTACTAAGGGAACTGAAGCTTGCCATCTCCAAAGCCACATTGGTGTGGAGTTTGAGTGTGGTGCCTGGGCTGCAGCAGGCTGGGCACTCATGGCCTGGAGCCCAGTCTGACCTGGGATGGTTTGTCAGGGAAGGTCACACACCACACATGTCGCACATGAGTGGCTGGGTTTGCTCTCCTGGAGCAAGGCAGGCTGCATGGCCTGCAGAGCCTAAAGTGGCTGCTGGCTGGACCTCTCTCAGCCCATAGTCTACTGTCTTGTACCTCTTGGTACTGGACACATCCCTAGCTGTCCCCTCCAGGTGCACAGGTGTGGGAGGCTGGCCCTGGAGCTGGACCCCAGGTGGCTCTGTGCATACTGCGAGTGGAGGGCCAGGGCAGACATCGTCCTGCCTTGAGACAGTGACCATGGCCTCTGGTGTCTTTCAGATATGAACACAGCAAACCACTGAAACAAGAAGACGCACCTGCTGCAGACCCCACTGGCAAACCGGCTCTGACTGCTCCCTCCGCACGCTCGGCTACAGTTGGGACGCTCGTTGACATGAGCGCGGGCGAGGCCGAGTCAAGAACGTCAAGCTTTGCCACTGTTGGGGCAGGTGCAGAGGACTGGGCCAACGCCATCGAGTTTGTCCCTGGGCAGCCCTACTGTGGCCGAAGTAAGTATTCTAAGGTGGCTCTTGGAGAGTTGGGCAGCGTGGAGCAGATGCGGGGATTGGGGAACCGCATCACATACTATGGCCAGAGGAAGTGATTCCATATGGCTGGTAGGCGGAGTGGAAGACTCCGTCCTACAGAAAGTGATGCAGACGCTTTGGAAGCCTTCTTGTCCCACTCCGTGTGTAGAATTGAATTTCAGTTGCAGCAGAAGGACCCAGAGCAGTGTTTTTCTGCACACCTAGGCAAGAGGGCCTTTGCTTTGGTGGTGCTGTTACTGTTCTCTTGAGCCACCCCAGTTCATGTCCCCACCTCACCTGCCTCAACCTCTCCCCTCTTCGTTGCAGCCGCCCCTTCCTGCACTGAAGCACCCCCACAGGACACAGTGACCAGGGAGGACCCTGAGAAGGAGCCGCCCGCCGTTGAGTCCAAGAAGCAGCTGTGCCCCTACGCCGCAGTGGGCGAGTGCCGCTACGGGGAGAACTGTGTGTACCTGCATGGGGACTCGTGCGACATGTGTGGGCTGCAGGTCCTCCACCCGGTGGACGCTGCCCAGCGCTCCCAACACATCAAGGTGAGGGTGGGTGTGTGCGTGCACACGGTGTGAAGCCAGGGCCCTTGCAGTGGCCAGGCTGGGCTTTGTGGAGAACTGCTGAGACAGCGTTCCGTCCTCCCCTGAAGCACGGTGTGCTCGTGACTTCCTGAAAGGCATTTGTAAGGAGTCCCTTTTCCACAGCCTCTCAGTCTATGTGGGCTTTTTTTTCTCTTCTTTTAAAAAACACAGTGGCCTTTTGAGGCATCGTCCATACATGAGGCCACTGGCTCTTGTAAAACATGTATTTCATTGGTTTTAGTTGGTTTCTCAGACTCGTCCAGCTGTTGTCAGGCGCGTCTAACTTGGGAAAGTATTCATCACCCCAGGAGAAACCCTACACCCCATTATTCCTCCTTCCAGCCCCTGGCCCCACTGGCCCCTGTTGAGATGGCCTCAGCTCTCTTCCTTGATTTGTCTCTGGATGTTCTTGTACATTCCTGTTATTGGGATTGTTCGAGACAGGGTCACTATTCCTGCAGTGGTCACATGGTGTGGTCAGGACTGTGAAGCTGGACAGGCATCAGGACAGCGGTCTGGCTGTGTCCTCAGGCTAGGATTGCTTGGCTGTCCAGTAACTGCATTTGACTGTGAGAGGCAGCCAGTTTGTCTGCATCCCTCTGGCAGTGTCTTGAGTCAGTCCAGGGTTACCCCCACTCACAGCATGTGTTTCAGTTGGGGAGATGTTGTATGGCAGACCTTGCAGCTGCAGGCACAGGTTTTCTTCTGTTCATCAGTACTCACCTGTTTAACACAGTTTGGGGGAGGAGCGGAGTGAAGTGTGATACATTACAGGCCTTGTTTGAAACTCTGTCTTCCTAGCCTCCTGCTGGACTCCTGTATGCGTTTAGGCAGGTTCAGCCCCGTTTGGTTTTTTACCGATGTATTGAGAGTACTGAGAACTCTGTGGCAGAGTGAGTGGACAAGCACTTGGGCTCAGCAGCGTCCCCAGCTGCGGAGGGAGATCTGGCATCTCCACCGCCTGCCAGCCTGTGGGCAGCCCTGGGTTTCATGGCGTGGCAGGTCCACCGACTCCTTAGTAGTTGGCTTGGGGGCCTCCTTGGAGTAATAATTCCTATCTTTAAGGGTGTTAGAAAATAGAAATGATTTTTTTAATAGATAAGAAATTAGCTAAAGTGGTTGTTAGAGGGGATTAAAGATGACTTTTGTATTTTGAGTATTTATTTATTATTTATATCATTATAAATTAGAATTTTTATGTATTTTTTTTACTTTTTTATAATAACCCTGCTTCCTAAAGAAGAAGAGTGAGATCCACACAAACTCAGCCTGACCCACGGAGGCCCTCAGGACAAAGCCAAGCCAGCTGAGAGTGGCTCTGACTAGGGCAGAGCATAGCATGTGGAAGCACCCCAAAATGGAGGGAAGCTGGGCTTTCACTGTTCATAGCAGTGTCTTCTAACATACCGAGTGTCCATCAGCTCACGAACTGATGCAGAATCGGTGTGTGCGCAGGCGGGGCAGGAGGGGAGGGCTGAATGGGCTCCAACACTGGTGCGCTTTGGCAGTGTGGTGCTGGGGGGAGCGTCCAGAAAGAAGGCCGCTTGTCGTCAGTGCCCTTGATGTGGATTCCCGTGGCGAGAGGACAGGACGGGGCTGTCTGGAGTCAGAGGGCCTGGGGAAACGGGGGCCCTACTTATGTGTGTGGGTATAACTTTTTTTTTTTTTTAAATTTTATTGTCTGTGTGTGTACCGTCAAATCAGATCTGACTGGTACAGGAGGAGATTGTCCTTCCTTCTCCAGCAGAGCATCTGGTGGATTCAAACTGCATGCCTCTGGGATTGCAGTGCAGCTCCTTTCCACTAGGCCACCAGGGCTCCCTGTGGGTTTTATTTTTGGGGTGAGAGTATCTCCCATTGGGAGTATGTGTGATGGCCATTTGATTTTACACGTTCAGTTGATGGTGTGTGAATTGCGTCGCAGTAAAGCTGTTATTTTTAAAAAGGCAAGTGAACACCCTGGGCCTTTCGCGTCCCCAGTTCCTTACGTTTATTATGTTCCCTTCCCCCACCCTTACTCTTTCCTGACAGGCTGTCATTTGGCGCCTTAATCCTATTTCATTCTCCAGCTCTAAACCACTGTGCAGACAGCTAGTCTAAATGCTGTCCTGAGTGGACACAGCAGGGGTGGAGCTGCGGGTAAGACGTCGGGGTCGCGTCCTGGTTCCTCACGTTGGTTTCCGATGTCAGCACAGCCCGTCCTCCCGGCGCACGGGGCGTCCCCTCCAGCACTGCTCTCCTGGTGGTGTGGCTCTGCACTGAGGCCGTGTCAGCGGGCAGGGGCAGTGCCTGACCGCACCCCGTGTCTCTCACTCTCTGCAGTCGTGCATCGAGGCCCACGAGAAGGACATGGAGCTCTCGTTCGCCGTGCAGCGCAGCAAGGACATGGTCTGCGGGATCTGCATGGAGGTGGTCTACGAGAAGATCAACCCCAGCGAGTGAGCGCCACTTCGGCATCCTCTCCAACTGCAGCCACACCTACTGCCTCAAGTGCATCCGCAAGTGGAGGAGTGCCAAGCAGTTTGAGAGCAAGATCATAAAGTGAGACTCCTCCCCACCTCCGTTCGTGCGTTCTCTTTTGGGAAAGACTTTAGTATTGTGCCAACTTCCAACCTGACGGACCGCATTTAAATGCATGCATTTTATCTTGAAGCGGGGTGTCTTCTCTGTATCTCAGCTAGCTTCTAGGTTAGTTGGTCTCTCTACGTTAATTTGAACAAGGGAACCCTGTGTATCCGTTTAGAACCTTTGTGCTTTTTCTGAGGGGACTGTGTTGCGTGGACGAGCCCGTGGCGGCTTGGGGAACAGACGTACTAGCTCTGAATGTATGTTTCCTACGCTTGGCATTTTCCACTTTCCAATCCATCCATTAAGCTAGCCGATAACCCACCATCCTTGAAAGATTGTTCTCATAACTGAGCTAACGGCATAATCTAAACAGAGCAAAGTTACAAGAAATAAATTTATTTAAACGAAAGCAAAAGGAGTCTGTGTGAAATGTCTTTTTTGAGTTTTGGTTTTGGTTTGGAGTTTTTTTGGTGAGCTGACTAGCCTCCGAGTTGCATTACGCAGACGCTCGGCTGCCTGTCGGGCCCAGTCAGTGCCTGGGCGGGCCTCCCCGGAGACGCCCCACCTGCAGCTCAGGGTCCAGCTGGGCACCGCGCACAGGGCTGTCCTGGACAGCGCGGGCCTGCAGGGGGACTCGCACTGCAGCCTCTCCATTGTTTCCCAGGTCCTGCCCCGAATGCCGGATCACATCTAACTTTGTCATTCCAAGTGAGTACTGGGTGGAGGAGAAAGAAGAGAAGCAGAAACTCATTCAGAAATACAAGGAGGCGATGAGGTATGAGCACGGCAGCCTCTTCTCACGCTCGGCCCTGCGGGGCCTGGGCTCACTTTGAACAGAACAGTGCTGCGCTATCTCCTCCTCCCTCCTCCCTGCCCTCTGACACCCCAGTGCGGCTGACCCGGGCACCCCGACAGCACTGGCCCGCCGTGGGCGGGCACCGCTGTGACTCAGTGCCGGGCTGTGCGGCCCGGGGCTGTGTCACAGCGGGGTCCCTGCTGCCGGTGGCCTGCATTAGCTGTGCGGGCTGTCCGGAGGCTCCTGTGCGCACGCACACCTGTGTCAGGCGCACCTGGGGAGGGCTGGAGACAGGTGTGCTGGCTCGGCCCCTGCCCGGATGCCGGCCGCACCACCCCGAGTCCCGTGTGTGTGAATAAGGGTTGCGCTGTTTTCCTTTCCAGCAACAAGGCGTGCAGGTATTTTGATGAAGGCCGTGGGAGCTGTCCGTTTGGAGGGAACTGTTTTTACAAGCATGCCTACCCTGATGGCCGTAGAGAGGAACCACAGAGAGACAAAGTGGGAGCATCAAGCAGATGCCGGGTAACTCTCGTGTTTTTCTTAAAGGAGGGGATGGCCGCGCTGCGTCCGTGGAGCCCCCGTGCAGGTTGGGGTCGGGGTGAGACTGGAGTGGAAGGAGGAGAGGCCCTTCCAGCACCGGGAGGGCAGTGTGACGACAAAGCCAGGCGCGCCGAGGGAGGAGCTGGCGCTGTGGAGAAGGCCGCTGGCCGCGCCTGCCCACCCGCGGTGCGCTGGACAGTGCCCCCCGACGCCAGCCCCGGAGAGAAGAAGCCGCTGGCAGAGCTGCCCCCATCACGGCCTTGTTTTTTCCAGGCCCAACGGAGGAACCGCTTCTGGGAGCTCATCGAGGAAAGAGAGGGCAGCCCTTTTGACCACGAGGAAGAGGTGGTCACCTTCGAGCTGGGCGAGATGCTGCTCATGCTCCTGGCGGCGGGCGGGGACGACGACCTGACGGACTCGGACTCGGAAGACGAGTGGGACTTGTTCCACGACGAGCTGGAAGACTTCTACGACTTGGACCTCTAGCGGCGCAAGGCGCACGGACTGGCTGTGCCTAGGCCGCGGCTCGTCCCCGCGCTGCGGGCCGGCCGAGTGTCCCCCAGGCAGGCCTGTCACTCCAGGTGCTGTGTCATCACTCAACCCAGGCTCTGTCTCTGCCCTCCCCCTCCCCCAGGGGTGTGTTGTTTTCTCTGTTGAAAAAAAAGTTACAAAAATAAATCTCGACGTTAGTGTTTTTGTAATATGGATTTAACTGTCAGACAGTTAGCGTAGGTCTGTTGCGTCATCGGTTGGCAGGCAGGTCCTCACAGTCGCAGGTAGAGTGGACCTGGTCACCTCACCTGGAGGGCATCTCACCCAGAGGGCACCTCACCTGGAGGGCCCCAGGGTCAAGGCTGAAAAATCAGCCAGCAGCTTCCTGCCACGGCAGGTGAGGTGTCAGCTAGGGCCCTCAGGACACCCCCAGGCGTGTGTCTGTCCTTGCCCCATGGACCTCACCCCTATACCATCTTTTCTCTGTGGTTCCGTCTCTTGTTGAATTGCACACGAGTAGTACTACTGGCTCCCCAGACACGGACGCGTGGAGATGGTTCCACGTTTGGCATGAAGGAGCCTTGTCCAAGCACAGATGCGCACGGGGACGGGGACTGGCGGGGAGCTGCCGGGCATGTGAGTGGGTGTGCGGTGCTCCCCCCCAGTGCCTCCCCAGCCTTAGTGGGAGACTGAGTAGATATGCTCTGGCGAGAGACGGTAGGTGCTGACAGCAGGACAGTCTTGGTGTTGCTAGTTGTAGAGCAGGGCGGGCTCTTTGTGTGAGCTGGGCAGGGTCGGCGTAGAGACCCCCCAGTCAGTCCCCATCCAGTCACTCCCGTTTCTTGGTCATCAGCCTCTCCAGGCCAGGCACTTTCTGAGCCCCCTTTTCCTCCTTGGAGGGGTCGTGTTGTTGGGTCTGTGTGTTTGTTTTTGTGGGTGTTTGTCTCCTCTCACCCCCAAGCCTTGCAGACAGATAGTAGCGTTCAGAGCCTCGGTCAGCTGGTGGTGCCAAGCAGGCAGGGGAGAGGGTCGAGGTGGCCACCCGTGCCGTGCGTCCTGTTGCTCTGTGTCCTGAGACGCTCAGAAGCCCTTTGGGTTGCCCGTCTACTACTGTCATTCCTGGATCCACCACTCTTTTAAGAACTTTGAATAATGTCTCAGAGGTCTCTGTATTTTGCAGCTGCCCTTTTGTAAGAAGCACTTTTCCCAAATAAAATGACAAAACAAACTAAGCTGCCTCCTGTGGTGTGTCTCCTGGCTCTGGTTCCCCTGGACTCGGAGCACATCACCAGGCCGTTGGGGCTCTGGGGGGAATTCTCCGAATGAGGGCTGCTCCTTTTTCCTGGGACACTTGAGAGTGGTCTCACTCCTCCCTGGTCCTCCAGGTGGGGGGGCCTGACTCCCAGCACAGGTGGGTTTTATAAAGAATTATTATGTAACATTTGAAATTAATGGAAGCCCTTGGACTCCTGTAGCGGACCTGAGGGAGACAAGGCCCTAGTCTTTTCACTGCTTGTTGTCATGGTGATGGTCATGGGTTGGCTGTGGGGGTTGTATCTGCTTTGCCAGCAGCCCCTTCCCTAAGAGTCAGAGGTCACCTTCAGCTGGGGCTGACCTCCCACACTGGGGACTGCAGCTGCCCAGAATCTCACGACAGTGACCATGTCCAGAGGGCGGGGGGCTGCTTGTCCACAGGGTCAGAGGGTGGTGTGGATGAGGCACAGGCACCGATGCCGCTGCTGCTGGGGGGAAGCTTGGCTTGCGTGCAGCCATGACTCTGCGGGTGACACACATGGTGTGAGGTCCACGGCTCCTGCCTGCCACAGGAAAAAGTTTGGCAGGTGTGCACATCCTGCCAGAGAGCCCCGTGGAGCAGGGGTCAGTGCGCCAGTCCACTTGTGTGCACATCCTGCCAGAGAGCCCCGTGGAGCAGGGGTCAGTGCGCCAGTCCACTTGTGTGCACATCCTGCCAGAGAGCCCCGTGGAGCAGGGGTCAGTGCGGACTAGCTGGCCGTGGTGTGTGGGGTGAGACAGCTCCCAGGTAACAGGCCACACCCGAGTCTCCTTCAGGGCCAGTGCCTGTTGCAGCCAGAGTCGGGGTCAGCATGGCAGGCCGGACACCTCACTGTGCCAGGCTCACATTTCTGACCCCACAGTCGTGCTCAGATTTGCCAGATTGGAGTAGCTGATGCAACGGGATTTATGAAGCGCTTGGTGCTCTCTGCGGCCCACATTTCCAGGCCAGTGCGTGCAAAGGCTGCCAGGCCTGCTGCACAGTGTGGGCCGGTGACACACAGACTTGATGTGCCCCCAAGTCTGGCTGGAGCATGTCAGTGGACCTGATACACATTCGAGCTGTCACCCTCAGCTGCTGTGTGGGCACACATTTTCAGTTCTCTGGCACGTGGAGTGACTGTCTAGCTTATAAGTAACTGCCCGCAGGGGCTGTAGTGTTTGACACCCCAACAAGACACTGGGGTTCCCCATGCGCACACTCCATGCTGGTTACAGCCAGATTAACAGTGTCACTGGGGTAGCGTGTTTATGACCCACCTCCTAAAGCTACTCCCACTATCTTAGTGCTCACAGACGACACTGAGAAGGAACGGTCGGTCAGAATGGGTAGAAATGTCAATGAGATGTGCTCAAGTTTGGCCATCCACGTGTACGGATGGCCAGTCTGCGAGGAGCTGTTACAAACCAGGTACTTTTAATCAGCTCTGAGCAGTTGGTGCGAAATTGAAATTGCGTTCCCAAAGGAAGATGCCACGTCACGGTGGATGGAGGGAGTGACAGTCCACATGGCAAGCAGTCCCTGGGAGAAGGGGGCTTCCTTCAAACCAGGCTGCTCCCTTAGCAAACAAACGGTGAGGTGGTGGCCATGCTGATACACTTGTTCCTGGTCAGTCCCTGTCTGCAGGGGACAGAGCTCTGATCATTTCTGTGGCGACTTCTAAAATGCCTGCAGCAATCACCCAGTATTCATGGCTCTCGGAATTATTTTCATGGCTGTAACTATGGGAGCCCTCGTCTCGACTCTCTATCCCCCAACTACAGGGTGTAAGTGAACAGGGATGAGGTGGTTCCTTCCTGTACTGGTTTCAGGGAAATCCCCAGCCTTTCTGAAAACGGACGAAGTTGACACCACCATCCTGTTGTGAAAGAAAACTTATGTTCTACTTAGAAGATTTAACTTGGTTATTTTATTTTATTTTTCATTTGCATACAGAATTCTGCACTATTTCATTCACATATATTGTTTCATATATAATTTTAATTATTTTGTTAGAAGCTGCCACTGTTTTGGCTTCACCTGCTTTCAGCTGTTGCAAAAGCCTGTTATTTTTTTCAGTCTTGCCCTCTGGCATTATCTCTTCTAGCAGAGTAACACTAAGATTGAAGGCTTGGTATTTTGTTTCATGGGGAGTAATGATTACTTGAAAATAAATGTTTACTAGATAAAAATTAAATTATGTACACTCTTTATTTTGTAAAATCATTGTTTGGATATTGAAAGAACCCATGTTTGAGTTTGGAGGTAAACAGGTCATCCAACAAGGGCAGGTAAGTGGATGACACCGTGGCTTATGGTGGTGGGAAATTGTTAGGGGCGGTCGAGTTCAGTACAACCCAGAGTGACCCCTGAGCAACAGATCTGGAGCTTGTCCCATCCTGCGCCGTCCTCACACCTCCTGACACAGCGCAGTGCAGCAGTCACTGTGTCACCAGGTGATGGGGGTGAGAGCCTACATTTTGTGCTTTAAAAAAACCCTTTTTTTAAAAATATGAAACATTTTGTTTTTTGGAGTCAGTGAGAGGGCTTCAGGTTTCTGCTGCAAACACTTTCCTAAAACCACATACAGTGTGCGGATAATTTTTATTCCCGGTAGTTGAAAAGCAGATACTGTCATCACTGAACTGAAATCTCGGGAGCCGTGGTGGTGCAGTGGTCAAGCACTTGGTCATCTTGGAACCCACCAGCCCTCTGCAGGAGAAAGATGTGGCCACCTCCCCATATAACATTACAGCTCGGGATCCTGTGGGCCAGCTCTTCTCTGTCCTGCGGGGCTGCAGGCACTGGGATCAACTCAGTGGCAACCGATTCAACTGAGTAACACCTGGCTCGTCAGGCACAAGGGATGTCTGTCCTTGTGAGAAAGGGAGCTCTGGTGGCATAGTGGTTAAGAAACCACTGCAGCCCCAAAGGCATGCAGTTCGAAGCCACTGCTGCTCTGTGGGAGAAGGATGGGCCAGTCTCCTCCTGTGCAATTAACTGCCTCTCAAAAGCCCACCTGAGTGTTGGCTAGGGGTCGGTTTCAAGGACACACCAATGGTCGACCACTGTTCTAAAGCAGAGAGCGCGGGTACAGGCAGGGAGGCCGGACATCTGGAAACAGTCACCAGTAGGGGCCAGGTGAGCGGACGACACAGCGTGAGAAACAGGAGCAATTATCACTGAAGAATTCAGGTAAAACTTGCATGTGAACCTGAGCACACAGAATGTTCTTTTAAAAATATGGCATCCCCCTGTCACCATTTCAGAGGTTCCTCCCGGTCCTGCAGGCATGTGGGTTCACTGTGTGGACTTGGATCTCAGGTGGGGAGCAGCCTCCGGATGGTTTGGATAGTGTTGTCCCATCTCCTGAACCTGCTGGTGGCCCTGTGGATAAAGCACCCAGCTGCTAACCACAAGGTCACACTCTTGAGCTCCCCAGTCTCTTGGGGGGCGACAGGTGAAGCTGTCATCTTCACGCAGGTGGCAGCCTCAACCCCAAGGGGCAGTTCTGCTGGGTCCCGCAGAGTCGCTGTGTGAGGTCACTTTGACAAGTGGTGGGTTCGGTGGGTGTGACACACCTGTCCGACTGTTGTAAGTAGATTCTCATCACACCTGAACTTGTCCTAGTGGTGGTGGGGGTAAGTGGCATGGAGAGGAACCCGTGAGCAGAAGACCGGAACTGTGAGCTGTGCCAGCCTCGCCGAGTCCGCCGTGCTCT